GTTTTGTACACTACGAAAATTTAGTAAAATTTTAAATATTTTATATACATACATACACACTTCAAAATTATTAAAAAGTGATTCACTAATTTGGTGTTGTGAAATGAAATAATAAATAATGAATAATAAATAAAATGCAATATTGGTGAATAAGGTGCATAAACCAATAAACTGAAGATAGGAGCAATGCTGTTAAGCACAGGTAAGCAACTAGCGCGTACGAAACAGATATGTATATGTACATACAAGTATGTATCTGCATACAGTAGAGCGCGCGTTACATCTAAAGTTGTTTGTGTTTTTGCAAAACGACTCCTAAAGTTTCAGGTTTTGCCCTAAAAATATAAGAATCTAATGCAAACAAGCGCATTATTTTCAAATTAAACCGTAACTACATACTAGCATGTTGCTCCCACGACAGTTGGGTCTAATTAACCCGGATCTTTATCCGGCAAGTACTGTCGTATCGGCATTATTCCTCGAAATTACTTTCGGAATGTTTTCTGCTGTTACAACAACAACTAGCTGCAATTCATAATATGCGATTCTTTCATATTTTGCCTTAAAGAAGTAAATCTAAAACTTTGCGAAAATTGTACTTTTGGTAAAAGATTTTCAGCTCTACAAAAAATAATTTTTTTAATAAACACAAGCCTTTTAAAATAAAAAAAAAATAAAATCAAAGTTTTTCTAATAAAAAATCCTTTTAAAATAAAGAAATATGATAATTAAAGTTTTAGGTCAAATGAAGCTAAGCAGTCATACAAGCGATTTGTACCTCACTAAGTGTTGCTCATACGACATGGTGTACCATATGAATGCAGTAGATTTGAGTCATAAATTGAACTACTAACTTTTAAAGAAATGTTTTCATGAAAAAGCATTATTAAGACAATTTTTCAGAGCGAACAATTTTGCACTAGAATATCATTAATTTTTGCAAATTTTAGCTTAATTTGCATTGGATATACAAACTTAACTGCAAAAGCTGAAAAATCGCATATAAAATATATGAGAAAGGTAAAATGATAGAGGCGCAGCTTAAGTTTTGAAAATAATTATTTGTTTACGTTGCAACCATTTTTTATGATAAAAAGAGTTTTAAGTTTTGAGGGTCTTTTCAAACAAAAAAAAAAAAAAAATACTTGAGGAAATAATATAAATGTGTATGTATGTATGTATTATGCAACCAGTGTCAAAACAAAATATATTATTAAAGAAAAATGCTTATTCAAAGACTTTACAAACCAATAATTTGATTCACCAAAATGTTCTCAATATTGTCGCTATGAATGAATGAATCATATATAAACATATCGTCACCAAAAATGCAAAACAACGTATCAAAAAAAAAAAACCGAAATTGAGTATTTTGTTGTCTACGATTCATTACATCATATTACATATACATATGTAGCATAATATTTTCAGCTTGCACTATCAGATATAACCAATACATAAACAATGTATAACCATTTTATAACCAAAAATCAAACTCAAACTTTGTTTCAATGTGAGTGGGCTTTATTATATCGTTTGTCCTTCATCTGTAAACTTATGAAAAGTGATGTTACGTTATTTTGCAGTTTAGGCGAAGATATGCATTTGTTGCCTTTGCTTAATCTTTTTCTCTGTTTCTGTTACTATTTTCTCGTCGCTTGAACAAGATAGGAATCATGGAAATGGTTTATTTAAAGTAACTAAGAACATATAAGAAGCCTCATCGATTGTTGTTGTTGCCTATTGATATGATTATATGTAAACTAATAGTAGGTGTAGGTATTGAGCTATATTCTGAACTATAGGAAAATGTGTGTTAACGTCTCTTTGTTGTTTTTTTTATTGTTCTAACGTTTATCCGTAAGAAGGAAGGTAGATTAAGATTTTACCCAGATGCAAACGAGAGGTTTAGGATATGAAACGCGAGTTTATTTCGTAGGTTAATTGGTTATCGGTTAAATTACCGGTTAACCAAAAACACTAACTGAAATTTGTGTTAAAATTCCTATGCAATTGCTGGTTAATTACCCAACAGCGCTAACTGAGATTGCTGTTAAAGTATGTTTTTCATTAAATCCACTCCCACGACAGGCACGGACCCGTATTTTTTATACGGTCAAGAACTGTCAATTTGGCAGAATTCTGTCGCTACAACAACAACAACAAATTGCTGATAAACTTTACGAGTTTCTTGAGACTAAATTGGCTATACTAACGCAAACTCTTTTCTGTCGCTACAACATTGCTGTTAAATTTTCTATCAGTCTCTTGAGATCAAATTGGTAACCAACCGAAAGTCTTGCGTACATGTACGGTTAATGAGTTATGCCTTGATCACACGTAACGAGTAGAGCGGCGAGACAGTGACTCGGCCGAGTGCTCGTTTCGTTTAAACAGTAAGGCGAGTAATGAACCGAGTCAGTGGGCGAGTATAGTGGCGGGAGAGTCACTAGAATCACATTTTGTTTACTAGGCCGAGTGCTTCTTTTTTCTTCACTCTTTTGCCCCTTCTGAGCAAATCACTGACTCGCTCGTTGCATGTGAACACGCGTGCGGTCTTCACTCGCCACTCGGTCGATGATTTTTTGTTGTTTATTTAGTTTTAATTGAATTTTGTATTGTGAAACAATTGAAATGGCAAATACTCTTTTATGAGATGCGGTAGACCTTCATTAAAAACTCTTTTAAAATGTCTTTTTTCTACCAAACATTGTAAATAAAACTTTGAAAAACTTCACTGTCTAACTAGATGAACAAAATACGTGTAAACCTCTACTCGCCAACGCACCTCTCTCGACCGAGTATCATACTCGGCCAGAATACTCGTTACGTGTAACAAGGTGTAACAAGGTGTGTATGTTTCCGAACAAATTCTTGCAATATATTGCGGTATCAGTAGCCGTGACTTGTTCGAAAACATACCATGACCAGAATTTTCACCTGTTTCAAAACTTTTTAAATGACATGAGTAACGTAATATTATATACCATACAAATCCTTACAATAGCGGTCTCGAACTAACGAAGTTTGTGGAAATTTTTTAGCGGTAACATTCTGCGAAGGGTTACCACCACACACTGCATATATAAATGAAATACTACACATTTGTAGCAAAAAGTTCAATAATGGTCTCATTTCCCGAGCACCAAACACTCAGCAAAAACAATTCCCACATTTAAGCCACAACAACAACTGGTTGGGAAACAAACCAAATTAAACTTTAATTAACTATAATATAACAAATAATTCAGCACACATTCGTATTTATAAATTTCATACGCTTGACGCCTCAGGACGGAGTTTTCCCAATAACAAATCAGCACTTCATCAGAAAGTGGAAGTTTTTTCTATATTTTTTGTATGTATTCATAAAGATTTTGATTTCGCTTATATTTTTAAATTTATTTTGAATTTTTAATAATCACTACATTTGATGAGTATAAGGCAAACGCAACTAAAATATTTATTATAAATATTAATAATATCTTTTCATGAATTTCGTTAATTGAACAACTTTCTTGACTGCTTTAACGTTAGCTGATATCAGCGCTTACTTAACGACAATTTTTTTACTAAAACTAATGTTAAAGTTTTTTTTTTGTTATTAACAATTTTAACGCTAGAGCAAATGAGTTAGGCGCTCCGTTTTATTAGCCAAAAATATTGTGTGTCAATATTTCATTTTTCGTACACACTATGCCTACGTAGCTTAATGAAATTATCTTTTTTTGAAAACAAATTTTTCTGTTCCTTATTTTTTTCAAATATTCGTATATATTTTTTTTAATTGTAATTTGTTAATTTAATTTTATTAATTATAATTATAATTTTTAATTTTTTTGATGAATTATAATTATAATTTTTAATTTTTTTTTATTTATTAATCGGTTTTCGTATTTGTTTTGGTTAGTGTATGCGCTAATATTCAACTGTTATTATTTTACATGAAATCACAGTCCGTATGTGAGAAAGAACGTGTAAATGTTTTTATGCATAGCTTTGCATATATTATATAATATAATACGAGTTCATTGAATCCTTAATTATTTTTCTTAAATTTGTTTTTTTTAGTTTTAAGCATTTAATTATTTAATATCCTTGTGGGTTTTGCTATATTTTTAGTGTTAACAATTTGAATGAGAAAATTAATTTACTCTTAATTTGTATGCCGTTACGTTGTGTGTATGTTTCATGCTATTGAAATGCTATGTTTTTTTTTGTAAATTAGGCATTTACTCGTATTTTTTTTTTTTATTTTTATATAATATATATAATTTTTGTGTACTTCGAGAATTTGCTTGCTTTTGAAAATTTTTATTTTTTGAATTACGGTTTTTATTTTTCAAATTACAGTTTTTTATTTCAATTTAATTATGTCTCTATTTAAACTCTTCACAGAACCAAAAAATTTCGCTTATAAAATGTTGAAAATTTTTTTTGTGATTTAGTTTTTAATTTGTAGTTGCAAACGGTTTCGAAAGCAGAATTTTTTAAAGTGATTTATCAGAAATGACAGAATGTAATTTTGAAATTGTGATTTTTTTTTTTTAATTTTTTTTAATGATTTTCGAAAACAGATTTTTAAAGTGAGGTTAGAATATAAAACAAAGTTTTTACACTATTTCTTTACATGCTTTACATGAGGCTTACTAAAAAAGTCAGAATGTTCAATAAAACAGTGAAAAAGGTGTTGGGTTTGGCGTCTCACGTCATTTAGTTTGTAGATTTTTAAAACATACCGTGTTTTGATAATTTAGTTTTTTTTTATTAATAAATAGTTAGTATTAAATATTTGGCTTCGTTTGCGAGTGTTTTTAGTTGTTGTATTTTAATGCAAAATTTAGTTTTAGTGTTTGTTCAATATGTTTTAATAAATATACAACTGTAAGTATTATTTACCAAACGGTTGTAGCTGCTATTTTTTTTTAGTATTTATTATTATATTGTCTTCGAAGCAGTTGTAAATGTATGTTTATAGGATTTGAAAGAAATTATCGTGTTTTGTTGCATGAACTTAAAACTGGGTGTTTTAAAGTTATAAACATAAAAACAAACAACTCACTCAGCTCTTACCTTCAGCGTCTTTAGATTCTTGAGAAATAAAGTGTATTCCATAAATGTTTACTTTATTGAACAAAATATTAACACTTTATTTATATTCGAGGAGTTTTAAGCTGGATTGCATATAAATGTGCTTATTTCGAAAGAAAATATTAAAACGAACTCCAACCAAAAACCATTTTTCCATGTTTGATCGGTTAGTTCCTATATGTTCGGATATTGCAACATTGCCTCCTATGGCATTGCAACATTGCCTCCCATGCCGAATTTGGCAGAGATATCTCGTGCAATAAAAACGCTTTCCTTACAAGCATTTGATTTCGCTCGTTCGGTTTGTACGACAGTTATATGCTCGAGTAAACCTTTTTGCACAATTTTTTTTGAAGATTACACCAATGCTTTTGGCAATAAAACATACTAAATTTCTTTAAAATACCACTTTAAATGTAAAAGCTTTCCTCACAAGCACTTTATGCCGATCATTCAATTTGTAATGCAGTTGCATACTATAGTGGTGCTATATTAGCGGTTTCGATGAAAGCACAGCTTCTTGGTAAGATCATTTATGCATATATTTTATAGGCTGCCAGACATTACCTTCTAGGTGTTACAAACTTCGTGGCAACCTTAATATGCCGTCTTTATTGCAAATAAATTGTACGTTTAGTGCCGCTAATTTTATGCCATAATTTGTTTAATTAGTCTCCAAGAGTTCGTGCTACATTGTGAAGGATTTGCTTACTGCAACAAGAGCAAAATACAGTGCGGTTGAAATCCGTAATAGGGATTTCATACTCTACCAACCCCACTGAAACAGAGTTGAAAACCGAAGACCTAAAAAAAGTTTAAGAGTGGTAAGGTTTTCATGGCAAAAATTATTAAATTTTTTGCGAATTTATTTCTTAATGTTTGAGTAATTTGATTCAGACCTTTTGTACCTTATTGAGCACATTTTTGACAATAAAGGGTAGTATTTTTGTTTCGTTACTTTTTTGTTCATAAATTTTAGACGCGTTTTTTCTCACAACTACTTTTCCAAAACTACTTGACCGATTCATTTTAAATTTTGTACACATTTTTGACATAAAATAACCCCCCTCCCCCTCACTCGTTTAGTTTTTTTTTTACGTCAAGCGCGTTTTCCACTCACAAAATTGCGTAGAGAATGATGGAGGGAGGATATGATTGTAATTTGACTAATTTTTCTTGATTTTTTATTTTCGGGAGATGCTCTACTAACGACTTATGCTTCAATATTTCTGCATTAATAAATTACCTTATATTGTTAAAAGTCTGCTTAATAATATACACAAGGTCCAAATAAAATTGCGCAATCAATATTTAAGAAATAAATTCGCAAAAAAAGTTTTTTTGAAATCAATTTTGTTTGTAGCGTCAATAACATCCTTGTAAACCTGTGCTAAGTAAGAACCAAAACCATATTTTCACATTTTATGAAAAGCAAAATATTAACTGACATGTTGGCTATTTTAGTCTAACTAATACATATAAGCGTTTAACAGACTGCAGCGATAATGTGTCTTCGATAATTAGTAAAATAATAAGAGCCTTTTTTTTGTAGAGAAGTGGCTACTTCACTTTTATGGAATTTTTTTTTTTTTTTGCCAGAAAAAATTGTTTTGTTGCAATTTTATTTGTCAGCGAGTGGGTTTGAAATGTGTGTGTTTATGTATTGATATTATTATTAAATTTTAACTATTTTTATTGTAAATTTAAGCTTTAATTTTTATTTAATAAATATTTCAGCTATTTTTATAATTATAAATACTTGACTAGTTATATGTTACGATAATTTTAAATTTTCTCTAATTAAATTTTAAAAATTCATAAGCACTTAATTGCATAACGATGTACAAGAGCATCAAGAATACACATGACTCGACAAAGTCCACTGCGCTTGCGAACGCATAGAAATACTCGACTAACTTTTACCTTTTATTTAAACACACTTGGTCATAAATTATTGCCTAGTACAAATTTAAAATGCCATACTCGTACGACGTCCACCGCCGCCGCCGCCACCCGCACCTATACGTGATCCACCACGCGGCAGTCCACTATGCGAAACGCTGCGGCCCATTCGCGCCTCGCTACCGCGCCGTTCACGCGCCTTCCGCAACAGATCGCTCGTGCTCGGCCGACGGCTATCACTCGCGCTGGATGTACCGCTGCGCTTGCACGACATAATGTCCGACGTAGAGGAGCGTCGTATATTGCCCGAATCGATGGCATACGGCGACAGGTAGTACGGCGAGGGCGAACTCGCCTGCGAACGCGAACACATGTCGTAACGATTGATGTGCAACAGCTGCGAACTGGAATGATTGTCGTCTTCGTGTGAGCTATTGCGACGCGACGAGTACGGCGATTGCGGATAATCGAGCAGTAGATTCTCCGCTTCCTCAGCATCGACTGATTCGATCTTCAGATAGGGCGGCATACGATTGTTGATGGCTGTGCCGCCGCGACTACCCAACGGCGTGACGGCGTCCAGTAAACCGCTACCATTCGCATTATCGATTCTACCATCACCACTGTCGGCAGCGCTACCGCCGCCGCCGCCGCCACTTTTGCTGCCAGCACCGCCACAACCGCCCAGCGAAGACGATTGTGAGTGCGAATGTTTGTTGCCGTTACGCAAGCCAGAATATAGTGATTTGATGTGAAAGTCGAACGATTTGAAGTTGAGCAATGAGCGACGCTTTTGAGTTTTCGGTTCCGTCTCGGCGCTGGCATCGCTGGTTGGTATCAATACGCAGCCGTTGTTGTTGGTCGGTGTGGTGGCGGTTGTGATGGCGTTGGTTGTGGCACTTAAACTAGTTGTGTTGTTGTTGTTCAAAGAGTCTATTTGTATAATCGCGGTTGCACTATCTAAGCGTGTTGTGGTTGTTGTAGTGGTTGTTGTTGTTGTGATGCTAGCAGTTGCAGTTGGAGATGCCGTTGTCAGCGTTGCGGTCGCAGCGTCTAAATCGTAAATATTTGTGGTGTTGTCGACTAAACTACTAACGGTATTATTAATTAACAAACTTTTATTGGCTGTAGATTTTAATAAGTGTGAAGAATGGTGCTGTTTTTGTAAATTTGCTTGTTGTTGTTGCAGTTGTTGGTCTGTGTAATGCACGTGTAGCGATTGCTGCGCATGCTCCGGCTGATGTAGTAGTAACAATTGTTGCTGTTGTTGTTGTTGTTGTTGTTGTTGCTGCTGTTGTAGTTGTAAGTCATGTTTGCTTATTGTTGTTGTCATTGTTGTACTACTTAAACTAGTTTTACTACTAATCGCTTTCAAAAATTTATTATCGTTATCTAAGGACCCCTTTTGTCACTGAATAACACAGAAACCCTGCTTTGACGCATCCTTCGCATCGGCCTCCTCGCAGAATGCCTCTTCCTCATTTTTCGGTGACTCTGCCCCACAAGGGCCGCCGCCACTGAGGCTAGGCGGCCCCTGAGGGCAGGCTGATTGTCACCGAAGTGCGAGTGTCGATATCATTGGCGGCCGCACCGGTTTATTCTCTAATATGCGCTCCAACTCCATCAAGACGCTGGTTGAGAGGCGTGGCAGTAACTACAAACAGACAATTTGTCGCCGTGTTAGTAAACAAAAAATTAAAGCTTAGTAAATCGTGCTAACCTGCAAGGATTGCAAACTCTGATGCAATTGCTCGGCCGAAGTTGCACCCAGAAGCAGACATTGCACCGGCTCGTGCTTGAGTGACCAAGCGATAGAGAGTTGTGTTGGACTGCAACCCAATTTCTCGGCCAGTGCTGCCAAATCGCGCAAGCGATCACAATGTCGACGCCCCTCGTCTACACGATCTTTACCCCAGCTGCCTTGTGGCGATAAGGCCGCCTGCAAGTCAAACAAAAACCATAAAGAATGTGTACACGCAAAAGGAAAACGTCTAAAAGAACTGAATACCATTTTTGTACTATTTTCTTAATTTCACCCCCCCCCACTTACATTTCGGTTAATCTCATCCTCTGTCCATGAATAACTTTGACTTTTCGTCTTGAATGATCCCTTTGGCAGAAATAGTTTTTCACCATTTTGCGTATCGGCCAATGCCATTGATAGCGGTCCCCAAGCCATTAGGCCCACACCAATCTTATTGTACATTTCCGGCAAATAGAGCTCGCACTTCTCGCGACAAAACATGTGATACTCTGATTGTTCGACTATTGGTGTAATACAATTGAACTGTCGGCAGTTAGTGTAGGCTTCCATGATCTCGACATGTGACCAACGTGCTGTGCCCCAGTACATAGCCCAGCCCTGCTGAATGACATAGTTCATGGCACGTACAACTTCTGTGCGAAAGCGTAAAAAGAAATAAGTAAGACGTTTTAAAAATTGGAACCTGAATACTAATAACATTACTCACCTTCCATGGGGCACATAGCGTCCGCCTTGTGTATGATCACAATGTCTATATATTGCAATTGCAAACGTTGTAAACTGGCTTTGACACACTCGATGATGTGCTTGCGTGAAAGGCCACGTTCTTCGGATCTACCGACGTAGAAGAAAAGAAGAAGAACAATAAAAGAAGATGAAGAAATGTATACAAGATTGTAAGAATATAAGGCGATTTATTCCTGTTGCTAAAGAGTATAGTAGTTTTGTTTACCTAACGGGTTACCTATAGGGTTATATATGTATATATAATTGATCAGGACGAGACATGTTGGAATCCGAGTGATAGTCTGTTTGTATGTCAGTCCGTTCGTGGAAGCTGTAACTTGTAATATATTTGTATACGGGTTCCTTAGCGAAAAATGGGTCAATGCCACGCCCACAACTCGTTTATGAAAAGCCATAACTAAAGACTAAATTAAGACATAAAACTGTCATTCGATGCAGGGGATTGCAGTAGCAAAGCGGACCTGTTTGCAAAAAATTTTGAAAAAGTGGGCATGGCCCCAGGTCTCCAATAAGTTTAATTTACATACCTCCTTAACTAATTTGCAGCACAAATAATAAGAATTACTATTGACAAAATGGATGAAACCGGAATATAATTTTGATGAAATTCTACATCTCGCGACCCCTCCGGCCGATTTCAACTAACTTTAGCACGCAGCATTCCTTTCATATTCCTATGTCACAATATGAAAATGAAAAATCCGACTAAAACCACACCTACTTCTCACATAACACAATTTTAATTTGACTTTTGATCGAAAATGTCGGCCAATTTGTGATATATATATATGTATAACTGAAATTAAAGGATAATCCTTCTCTTATGATGGTATGTCTGTATATCAAAAATGGGTTGAATCAGACAATACTTCCATTAGCCTTCATATATTTAATATACCGATTTTGGAACTTCGTGGTGAATTTGCATATATCGGCTAATATTTGAGTTATTCCAATGAAAAGAAGAGAGCGTGTTGTAATCATAATAGTGTATCTGTGTGCCTAAAATAGATAAATTTGGCCTAGCCCCTATATAGCTAATATCAGAATTTTCGAACGTCCGGCTGACTACTCTATTTGATTGGTTTTACATCTTAAAGTATATCCCAGGCTTTGATTCTTGCAAGTTGCAAGAGTATAAGATGTTCGATTGCACCAGAACTTAGCCCTTACTTACTTGTTATATTATACTTTTAAAATAAAATGTTCATTTAATAAATATTGTATTATATAATCCTTTTTTAAAGCATCTACTTATAAAATGTACATATGTATATGCAACTAAATATTTCCTTTTACATATATTCATTAAGCATTTTAAAATATTGTATTTTCAGAGTATATAAAAAATCGCATGCGAGTTCTTTTATATGACACCTCAATCGCCAAATTGATGCTAATTTACAAACAAAATTTCAAGGAGAAGCAACAACTACCGCAATGTAGTAGGCATGTAGTGAGTGCATTACTCCTTCGCTATGCTGCGATGCGCTAGCTCAAAGGAGAATGAACACAAACAATGCACACTTTTTCCCCATTCAAACTCCACCACTAACAATAAACACAACAGCATCACCGCTGTCGTGGGGAACTCTACTCACACTCACTACAGATTTGCTCACAGTCAGTCAATTGGAATTTTTCAATCGCGATCGGTCAACGGTCAATTTGCGTGTCAGTTCGTGTTGCGGGAAATAATGATAATAAACGCGTACGAAATTAATAGTAAAAGTGCTTTTTAAATTATTTTGTTTAATGTAAAATTTTGAGTCAGAGTTGTGCAAATTAAATGAAAAGTTAAATAAATATAGTGAAAAGTTAAATTAAGTGTAAAAAGTTCAAGTAGGAAATTTTGTTTTCTATTATATGTTTATGTGTGTTAATGGTGTTAAGAGCGAAGTGAGTGGAAATCGAATATTGTATATCATTAATAAATAGTGCTTTAGTGAATTAGTGCATTAATTTCTATTTAAATATCGGGTGATTTTTTTGAGGTTAGGATTTTCATGCATTAGTATTTGACAGATCACGTGGGATATCAGACATGGTGTCAAAGAGAAAGATGCTCAGTAT